TAGAAAAGCATTATAAATTACTATATTTAGCTTTAATTAATAAATTTTCATATAAAATTGATGTAATAAATCTTTGCAAAAAAATTATTCAATATTTATTTCACCCCCCTATAACTAGTATACACATTTTCTAAATCTTCCCATGCTTTTTCTGGCAATAAGTAATTATAATCAAAGTCTTTAACAAAATCACTGAAACGCAAAAGTGTTAATTTTTCCATTGAAACTTTGTAAACTTTGTATGAATGAAATTTGACGCGTATCAGCGTAGTATGATTGGGTTATATATCTCGTGATCAAAAATGCCGATCGACCAATTAATATAATAAAATATTATACTTAGTAAGACTTGCATCTTAAAGAATCAGGCTTGTGCAGTGAATTCCGCTAGTCCTTCTACAAGGCCTGAAGTCTCCCCACTTGTCTGTTATGCAGTGAACTCCGCTAGTCCTTTACAAGGCCCAGAGTCTCCACACATGTGCTCTTCTTTATCAAAGCAGATAAAAAAAAATTTACATATGCGTTATAGAAAAAATTTGATGCAAATGTCCCAGAATGGACGAAAATTTATTGATTATTTTTTTATATAACTAATCAGAAAATGCTAGAGAAGCAAGCAAAATGTAATATATGTAATATACAGTTAATATGAGTGAAAATCTTAGGTCGCATGGTCCCTATTCATTTCTGCAAGAATTTTTTGCCTAAGAGTTACGAATCACAAATCTGTGTAAAATCAGAGAAAGCTTTTTTTATTAATAATTCAGCTTGCGTAATAAAAAATATACCAGTAAAAAATCATAACCTACTTACAGTTGACGTTATTACTGCGTATAGCAGATATAATTCATGAGCATATGATATTTACCGGCGTGATCAATCTCACATGACTGGCCTATGCTACAATTGCGAACTTGAGTTTATTGCTTGAAGTGTTGCAAGTAAGACAATATTCTAACTTATCTTGGAAATACAATTTCGCTAACTCAGGATCATAAGGGAACTGATTCCCATTTTTGAGGTATCATGAGCCATGTAATCTATAATTCCCATGTTTTTCATCACAAATAGGGCATAGTGAGCTCCACGGCTGAGATGATGCAAAATTATAATTATCAATCCCTCTGAAACTATTTCAGAATTTCAAGTATGTGAAATGCTCTAACACAGATT